AATCTAATCCTTCCAATTTTTGCCGTGCCTTAATCTATTACTGGATTATAATAATCTATTGCTGGATTATAATAATCTATTATTGGATTATAATAATCTATTACCGGATAATAATAACCATATTATAATCTATTATTATTATAATCCACGGATTAATATTAATCCGAGTTGTCCTGTATATTGTAGATTGATCTATATGTTATCCATTCTATGTGTTAGACTTACGATAAAAGTAAAGGTGGGGATACCAGAGAGCTTCAAAGTAGGATGGTACCCCCTAAAAAAAACTGGGTCGAGTCACCTTAAAGAAGTTTGACTGCTGACTGAGTTCGTGTTGGTCAACTAATTTGAATGGAGCTATATTGCTGTTTCTTGAGTTACAATTTCAGGCAACCAAGAGCCTGGTCCAGTCTAACGGGATTTTTCGTCTTTTTCTATTCATTTAGCCTGCTCCAGGCGGTCAGATTGGGGGAAGGTGTGAAGAGATATAAGCAGGAAAAGCAGTGACTGGGTAGTGCTGACCACTATTGGAACGCCCGGAACAGACTAATAAAAATTTATTTACCTTTTCAGCTTAGGATGTGGGATAGGGGCGCAAATTTAACCTTTTATGCAAAGCTTCTAAGGGCTGAGCTCGTTATGGGCTGGAGTAAAGTGTATTCCCTCGTATTGTACCTTCAACTTAAATCTTCTTTTGTTTGAAATAGATTTCTAATTTCCAATAATTTCAAACATCAAACACCTAAGAAATTGGATTAAAAACCGAAGAGATTTGATGATTACTAACACGTGGCTTTGTATATTCCCTCAACAACGGCCATGTTAGGACGAGATAACTAGCTAACTGAAGCGTGCAAAAATGCCAACAACTATCATTTCGTTTTGTTGTTAAACCCAAGAAAGAAATAGTGCTATGTAAAAATTATCCTATGGCCATAGTTGAGAATGGAGCTGCAATGCTCCCCAAAGCGTTCGTGGAGATTGCGCTTGGTCCCCCCAATGTACTGTTTGCTGCCTTTTTTTGCATTCAAAAAGGGAGATAAGGTTTTTGGATTTACATTTTAAGGGGTCATGCATACGTCGTTTCTCTTTGGTGGAGGAGAAAGTGTAGCTGGCTAGACTTTGCTTTAAAAACGGACAGGTAAGGCAGCGTGGATTAATGCATTTTGAAACGCGGGGAGATGGTTTTTCTAGTTAAGTTGTATGCTGCAATCACGTAAAGTGCTTCTAACAAGTAGGTCACGAAGGTTGGTACTCCTTTTAAAAGCAACCATGGGTGGAGACGGAAATATTTGTCTGCAGCGATTAGCCTGTTCCAGGCTCTCAGATAGTATAGTGCGGACGTATTTTAAAAAAATAAGACGCGCGTTGGACTTGGGAAACGGGGCGGTGGCGGCGAGAAAAATGTCTCTCCCCAGCCCCCGCGCGTTTCACATTTCTTTTTACTGAACGACTTTTCAACACTATCTCGGAGCCTGGAACAGGCTAGCAGCGATTGGATGATTGAGGATGTTTATATTTTTTCGGACAGTGGTGGAAACGTTAGGAAGAGCTGGATTATACGTGATGACAAACAGAGTGCGGTTTGAGTTGTTGTTTCTAGTAGCTTTACTGAAAATGCAACCCCATTATAGTCAATCCCAGTCGTGGAAATGCGACTCCATCCCGGGGGGAGGGGGGGCACTTGGGTATTTTTTGGGCGGGTATGTGCCGCCGGGGACTCCAAATTGGCACCCCGTTCTAAAAAAATTTCCCCTAAAATTGATACCCCGTTCTAGAAATGGGCCAATTTTTTATACCCCGTTCTAGGGTGCAACAAGAGTACAACAGTTTGCTTGTTAATGCATTGAACCCAGGAGCCCGTATTTTTTATTTATTTTTAAAAGCAATCTGTTCTTGAATAAAAAAGTGAAATGGCTGCTTACAAAACTGGAGCTTTCGTACTTTCGAAATATTATATCCCGTTCTAGAAAACGCCTCTGAAATGGATACCCCGTTCTAAATCAGGAGCTTCAAAATCACGACCCCGTTGGGCGGCACATACCGGTATAGGTAATGTATGGGAGTACCCCCCCTGGGCTCCATCCAATGGAGCCAATAGCCAGTTCACTGTTCTTTCTATTTCGAAACAAGAGAAGCACTTCCGGAGTCAGATATCATCCACTGATCGCAACAATCTTTATACCGCTCGCTGTCGGGGTTTCAACTTAACTGCGTCATAACAAGATTTATACCTCAGACAAAAACATCGCGAAGCAGTATAAACATCAGCAACAATGAAGATTTTGTTGTTAGCTGTTTTACTGGGCCTTGTTCTTTCTGTTGACTGTAGACGACGTAAACCTCAGAGAGGAGGTAAATATGGACTCAAAAAAACAAAAGGTAAGTCTATCATAATGATCAATCCTGTCGTCTTTTTGCCGATAGTGTAAATACTTTCCTAAATACTCTTTCTAAGCAGAATCTTAGAGTCTTTTCCAAGTCACTTCCGACCAACAAACGTTCCTTCTAAAATGTGTCGGGCCTTAGACTTGCTACGAGTCGACCTCTTGCCGAGCGGAGCGAGCCTTGTTTGGCGGCGAAGCGGCAACCGCCAGCGACGAAGTCGCGAGAGGTCGACCTTCGTCCCGCGCCATATCTAATCCGACAAAGGACCTTTTGAAAGTCCAGTCGGGCCTTTCTGCGTAAAGAGATTGAATGAAGATTGAATAAATCGTCCCTCAGAGTTGCAATTACTACGCTATGAAGAAATGGACTGTCTTCAATCCGCCGGGTAGAGTTTTTGCGCCGTTTTGGTCTGAAAACGGTTTTGGCCCGGAATCGGGTACGGTTTTCGAGGGAACTACAGGACTGTATGAACGTATTCATCCTTTCAATTCCAAATGTGTTAGGATGGATTTCCACTGTCGCGTAATTTTTCAATGTATGAAATGTCGCGCGTAAACATAAAAGTTGAACCTCGCTCAACTTCACGTCTAAGCTCGACACTCTTGCCTCTAGTATATTTCCGCGAGAAAAATTTACGTGCGTGTACACGCACGTTAAAATTTCGCGACAGTGGAAACCCACCCTGAGAAAGAAAGAGAAGTACGCGAATTCGAAATGGATTTTAAGAAATATTTTCTTCAAAATGACACTTTCTTGTCTGAAGTAGACAGGGGCACCCAACGAGGATATAGTTCAAAACCACTTCACATAGCATTGTTGAACGTATTTTAGTATTTAAACGGTAGGTATAGGCATATTTTTATCCCCTAAAAACTTTTCATCTGTTCGGATTTCCTAGCTGAAAGTCTAGTGATCCGAAAATTATAGAGATCAAAACTTACCTTTTCGAAAATTTCAGCCAGGAAAAGGCTCCCGAAAATTCTAGGTGGCCTTTTTCAGGGTAAATATCCGTTTAAAATGGGTAATTATACCATTTTGTAGATGTTCGAAAATCCTAGGAGAGGCAGGAAAGCAAGAAATTTTACAACAAATGTTCCGAAAATTCTAGTTCTCAAATCGTCTTCCGAACAGATATTTTCCCGAAAATTGCCGTTGGGTGCCCCTGAGTAGAGTCAGGATTTGGAGAACCGGGAGCAAACCGCACCAGGAATTCCCAGGAGTATCCCCGCGGGCTTTCGGATGCAATTTTGCCGCTTACGTGTGTCCCGAGGGCTGGGGGCACGAGTAACGTGCCACTGAACAGAATACGGTTGTTCCCTTTAGTCTTAAACAAGGTATTCAATTTCACTATTAAGCGTCTCGTCAAACAGGGTGTCTTTTTGGCCCTGAAGCCTTTGAAGGGTGTGAAGGTTGGCGATCAGCCACCTGTGGTACTAACAATATTTTCGAAATATAAAACTGAATCCGTTAGTTTATTTTAAAAAATTGCTTTCACCAGTATATATACATAAGCGAACTGACGTCAATTTTGCCAGTGTAACTTTCCCCGAGGAATAAAGTTCTGATCGTCGATCGCCATGTTTGATCATAATGCTCGTTCGAGAAGAAGAATTTTATGAGACAATGTTAGCAGGTCTTTACATCCCCGCGAGGAAATCATATCGCTCGGGCAGTGTAGCCAGGATCTAATAGTATGAATCGCAATTGCACGTGATTCTTTGCGTAGGTTCTGGAACTGGTTCGCTGAAAGCAATTAAAGCTTAGAGATAAGATCTTCCTCTCACATTTCCCTCGAGGCTGTATGACTTGTTTCTACGAGCGAATCCTACACCATACGACATACCAACCCCACCTACGAAAGATGTATTTCTTTCCCTTGGCTTTTCTTCTGTGGCCCAGGGGGCGGGAGTACTCCGGATTTCAAGTGACGGTTATAATCGAATGGGAGCAAAAATCAAAACCCACTGCAAAAGAAATCCCTACGGCTTCCAATAAAACCCCCCAAAAATCTCTGGACCAAAAATTACCCCCTAAAAATATCCCATGCCGAATTTCCAGAAAGCAGAACAAGTTTGGTTCTACTTTATTCGCAGAACTACGCGGCCGGAATGTGCGGGCACTACCACGAATCTTCAGATTGTTTTGAATAACCCAAAAAATCCTTACTTAAAAATAATTGCCGAATTTTCCTACCCTTCTCCCTCTCCCCCGGACCACAATACATATCATCCCCAGCTACGGAAAAGATCTCTTTTCCTTAGCTCTTCTGTGGATGCCAGATTACAGGCCTATGTTCACTCAAAAGTACTTTGCGCGCCTCACTGACTATAAGACAAAACGGAAAATCTGCGAACTCGGCAGTGGGCGCCATGAGAAAGCAGAGAGACGAAATTCACTTGTGCGTAATTTGGGATTGTTTTTTCTTTTGTCGTTTTGTGTTTCTTGTTTTTTTCCAAGCTCCGTGCGATTGTAATGTACTTCTATAACTCCCACTAACGAGGTTTCCGTTATAGATCCGTTCTAAAGGGGCTCCCGCGAGGGAAGTCAGTTGACAAAAAAGGGCATATAATAGGTCAGGAAATCATCGAAGACAGATTAACTCAGCTCTCGAGTCATGATGAAAGAAACTTTCTCTAAATGTATCCGTGTTTATTGACTTTATTTTTATCATTCTCCCCTCATTTTGTTAGTCGACAGGTGCTTCATATGGAATTGCAAGAAGCCTAAGTGCTTAAATGTGCGAACATGTGACCAGTGTAACGAGGGATTCATGCGCGTAGAAGCACCTCTTGGTTTTGCCTGTGCACGTAACTGTCCTTTATCACACACGCAAGTCAGCAAAACAACGTGTGTCAGAGGTTCGTATAAGTCGTATTTAAGTTTCCACTTGCAACTACGCCGCAGTCAGAATCGTTATCAGACTAGGGAAAATCAAAACGGCAGAGTCTTAAACAGAGTAGCCTGAGTATCAGGCATTTGGGGGGAAAGGGCGAAGAGAGAGGCGAAAACAGCAAAGAGAGAGGCGAAAAGGGGAGAAAGCGAGTGGAACAAACGCCTTCCTTTCTCTCTCAGTTCTCCCCCTAACCCCCCTCAAATCTCAATCTCCTCTCTCCTAACCCCTAAGAAAGGCCTGATACAGTAAAACCTGCATTTTTCCAAGTTAGCCTAAACAGGTTCTTACAATACATAAATGGTAAGTAGAACAAATTTAGCCTGGCTATTTACTAGTTTGTTAAATAGATTCTTCATTTCTAAAGAAAAATGCATTACAGCTAAGAGCATCTAGTGGTATATATATTCAGCTTATTCATTGAATAAAATGTGCGTATCATTATATTGCAGTTGGAGTGACAAAGTGCCTTTTTGTCGTCTGTAAGGATCATGAATGTTAACTTATCTTTTTACCTAATTGTATATAATTTTTTATATGGATTTTAATTTAGAAAATAAGAACCTGTTTCAAATTTTAGACTAAACAGCTTCTTGTATAGAGAGGGCCTAACAGTTTCCTAAAAACCAGGCTCTTAGTCGTGGGTTTTTACTGTACTCAAGTTATAAAGTCAAAGAGAGTACTAGTCTTCTATTTTGTGTATGACCCTGTCGCTTACAATCTAGTGTAAACTATTGTAGCTTGCGCAGTCACAAGCTGAAGCGAAAGAATAAGCCAAACACAATGGCTTAGATGGAGCACTGTGATTGGTTTATTCTGCTTCCATTGGCAAATCCGACAATCTGGTTTTCATTAGATCGTAAGCGGTGGCCGGGGGAAGTTATAAAGCGGAATAAATCATCCAGGGGGGTAGCATTCCTAGTCGCCGCTTCATGCTATGGAAACCGGGTTAAGCTTCGGCCGTTATTTGAGCCTTATTCTTTTTGTTCTCCTTTCCAATAAAACATAACTGTTTGCAAACGATGAATATATGAATTTCATACATTTAAACGTCAGAATGAAAAAAGCTCTCCATTTTCTCGTATTAAAGGACTTAAATTACGAAGTGTGAGTCTACTGTNATTGCAAGAAGCCTAAGTGCTTAAATGTGCGAACATGTGACCAGTGTAACGAGGGATTCATGCGCGTAGAAGCACCTCTTGGTTTTGCCTGTGCACGTAACTGTCCTTTATCACACACGCAAGTCAGCAAAACAACGTGTGTCAGAGGTTCGTATAAGTCGTATTTAAGTTTCCACTTGCAACTACGCCGCAGTCAGAATCGTTATCAGACTAGGGAAAATCAAAACGGCAGAGTCTTAAACAGAGTAGCCTGAGTATCAGGCATTTGGGGGGAAAGGGCGAAGAGAGAGGCGAAAACAGCAAAGAGAGAGGCGAAAAGGGGAGAAAGCGAGTGGAACAAACGCCTTCCTTTCTCTCTCAGTTCTCCCCCTAACCCCCCTCAAATCTCAATCTCCTCTCTCCTAACCCCTAAGAAAGGCCTGATACAGTAAAACCTGCATTTTTCCAAGTTAGCCTAAACAGGTTCTTACAATACATAAATGGTAAGTAGAACAAATTTAGCCTGGCTATTTACTAGTTTGTTAAATAGATTCTTCATTTCTAAAGAAAAATGCATTACAGCTAAGAGCATCTAGTGGTATATATATTCAGCTTATTCATTGAATAAAATGTGCGTATCATTATATTGCAGTTGGAGTGACAAAGTGCCTTTTTGTCGTCTGTAAGGATCATGAATGTTAACTTATCTTTTTACCTAATTGTATATAATTTTTTATATGGATTTTAATTTAGAAAATAAGAACCTGTTTCAAATTTTAGACTAAACAGCTTCTTGTATAGAGAGGGCCTAACAGTTTCCTAAAAACCAGGCTCTTAGTCGTGGGTTTTTACTGTACTCAAGTTATAAAGTCAAAGAGAGTACTAGTCTTCTATTTTGTGTATGACCCTGTCGCTTACAATCTAGTGTAAACTATTGTAGCTTGCGCAGTCACAAGCTGAAGCGAAAGAATAAGCCAAACACAATGGCTTAGATGGAGCACTGTGATTGGTTTATTCTGCTTCCATTGGCAAATCCGACAATCTGGTTTTCATTAGATCGTAAGCGGTGGCCGGGGGAAGTTATAAAGCGGAATAAATCATCCAGGGGGGTAGCATTCCTAGTCGCCGCTTCATGCTATGGAAACCGGGTTAAGCTTCGGCCGTTATTTGAGCCTTATTCTTTTTGTTCTCCTTTCCAATAAAACATAACTGTTTGCAAACGATGAATATATGAATTTCATACATTTAAACGTCAGAATGAAAAAAGCTCTCCATTTTCTCGTATTAAAGGACTTAAATTACGAAGTGTGAGTCTACTGTAAATTAAAGTCGGTATCAGTTCCTGCTGAAATTGTTTTCCGATTTTTAGCATTTTAGAGAGTCATCACGGTAATTTAATGTATCAGTTCTTACCCTTTATCCTTGAAATAAGTTTTCTTTCTGATTTTTCCTTAGCATGCACCAAGAATTGCAAGAAATGTGTAAGAGGTTCTTGTTACGTTTGTGATCGCGGCTATGTGCTTTCCAAAGGCACCTGTATTCGCAGATGTCGTAGAGGATACAAACTATTAAACGGGAAATGTTTGAAACAAGTACCATTAAACAAACGTAAGTACCATTAAATGATAATATATAGATATAGCCAGGGCTAAAAGTGAAGCTCCCGTTAATAAATTTATCATTCAAATCAAACAAATCATTTAACTTAAGGGCACATTCATATGACCTTGTGGGAAAGGCTGAGTGATTGTAGAGAAAATATAATTTGCAAACAGTCCAAGAATGAAACAAATTGCACGTCGAGTTGATAGTCTTATATGTACGCCCAATAAATAGCAATCATGCACCTTTCATCACAGTAGATTAGGCTTGGAAAACAAATTCTGCCCACACAAAATATCCCGGTACCAACCTGGAGGCTAAAAGGGAGGCTACAATAAAAAATCACCGGAACGCTTAAATCTGCAAGGTGTTATACATGGCTCAGGATTTTCAGTAAAACGTGGGTTGCACAAACGCATCGCACGATTTCCTGCCAAGAAAATATAACACACTCCTCCCCCAGACCGGCTGACTCCCGAGTCCCTTCCCTCCCCCAGAGAGTGAACGGACGGAAGGGCGGTGTCACAACCAAAATTTCTCGGATGGATAGATTACCAAAGTAATCACTTTGTTCTGTTTATTTTTTACAGAATTCAATCGTGCCAGTTCCAAAATCGCCCCATGTAAGGGGAGATTTTTGCTTGTGCAATCTAGACTCCAAAAAAATTTTGCTTGTGGAATCCTGAAACCTAGGCTACTTACTATAGGTTCTTATATTAAATATGTTCTTATTTTCTGAAGGAAAAAATACGCTGAAGCCAAAAGTATTTAGTGGTATTCAGCTTATTCCTTATATAAAATCTCCATACCAATACATTGAAGTTTGAGTCAGTGATAAGGCACCAATTTCTCCAAAGATAATCCGGAATGTTGGCGGATTTATCTCATTTGCCCAAGTGTACAGGGTTTTGAATATATATAGATTTTAGAATAAAAATATTTGTTTCAAATTTTAGGCTAAAAAGGTTCTCGTATACAAGGGGCCTAACTGGCAAATTTTAGCCAAACAAGTTCTTAAAAACCAGGTCCTAACTCACGAGTTTTTACTGTAGCAAAACTAGTCGTTACAAGAATTAATGAATGAATTTTTCGCTTACCTCCATTGTAGCTTGTCGTGTGATGAACTGTATCCTTTGTCCCAAGCGCAAGAGTTTGAAGTGTTCCAGATGCAAACGTAATATGTACAAACTGTCGGCTACACGACTGCGGGACTTTTGCTTTTCTCATTGCCCCTCAGGATACGCCCCTAAAACAGCAAACGGCGTCAATTTCTGCAAGAAAGACGGTAAGGAAAGGATATACTAAGTTTCTTTATTATATCCATTTTGAAGTCACGGTGATCTTTGCAACTTGGCCTCAGCGAAATTATTTATTCTCATATGGCTCTAAATCGCTCCATATAAAAGACGTCAGTTCTGTTTGCATAAAAAATGTTGATTGAACTTCATGTGCTGCAGTTTTGGTCCGAAATCATATTTGTGCCTTCAAATCCTTCTCCTGTGGCGCGCTCGTTCGATTTTGAAATCATGCATATCATCGGTTCAAACCAAAAAATTGCACTCCACTCAATTCAACAAAAATTGTTGTTATACATTGTACTTACGTACCGTCTTCTCATTGGCTAAGAACCAACAGTTATTTTTGAAAATTAGCGCAACTTACAGGGTACAGAATTAGTTATCTGCTAGCAGATAATATCACAAAAACCTCATTCATTAATTGTGTTTTAATAGTTAGGGTAAGGAAATAGAGTACTAGATGGCAAAGGGGCTAAACCAACAAGGAACAGAAAAAACATCTATACCGTGTTCATTTTTCAATTCTTGTCTTTAGCTCAACCTTACACTAAAGGGGCTGCAGTAACCACGCCCGAACATACCCCACAGCCTGAGTTCAGTACCCTGGAACAGACCGCTGTACCAACAGCCGAACCAGAAATCCACACGACAGATGGTTGTAATACTGAGACATATACTGTGCCAGAGGAAATATGGCCATAG